AAGAAGGATGCCAGATTACCGCCACAGCCATTGACTCACATATTACATTGTCCATGCTTCTCCCTGACAGCAAGCACTAGATCTCCGGATAACATGATGGGAAGGAAACCAGTGCTAAATTAACATAAAACAGGGAAGCTGGTTTTCTTTCAGGGACAGTCCCAAAGCCAGACACAATGTGGGACTGTCCCTCCTCATCAGGCAATTCCTATAATATAATGGAGAGTGTGCACTCCAGACTAAAAGTATTACATTGTAAATACCATGTATAGAAATGCAGACTTCTTCAGGGAGCAAGGGCCACATACCAGGAGTGCCATCACATGGTCCTAGGGCACCCCATGCATAGAGTAGATAAACTCCAAAATAGAGGGAAAATGATTCCAAATCTTGATTTTTTTAATACTATGTATAGAAATGCAGACTTGTACAGGAAGCGAGGCACACAGGCCAGGACTAGGAGTGCCATAACATGGTCCTAGGACACCCCATGCATAAAAAGAATAGGCGGAACCGCCAAGTAGAGGACAAGCTTATCCAAGCAACGCAATGCAAATACTATATATAGAGGGACCCCCAAGACACCCCATGTATCGAGATTAGAGGAACCCCATAGTAAAGGGCAAACATCCAATGAATGCATTGTAAACACTATGCCTAGAAATCCAGACTTGTACAGGAGCAAGGGACACAGACCAGGAGTGCCATCACATGGTCCTAGGGCACCCCATGCATAGAGTAGATAAACCCCAAAATAAAGGGGAAATTATTCCAAATCATGATTTTTGAATACTATGTATAGAAATGCAGACTTGTACAGGAAGCGAGGCACACAGGCCAGGACTAAGAGTGCAATCACATGCACTGCATAAAAAGAATAGAGGAACCGCCAAGTAGAGGACAGACGTATCCAAGCAACGCAATGCAAATACTATTACATAGAGAAAGTAGAGGGACCCCCAAGAGACCCCATAGTAAAGGGCAAACATCCAAGTAATCTATTGTAAATACTATGCCTAGTAATGCAGACTTGTACAGGAAGCAAGGGACCCAGACCAGGAGTGCCATCACATGGTCCTAGGGCACCCAATGCATAAAAATAATAGAGGAACCCCCAAGTAGAGGACAAACCTATCCAAGCAACGCAACGCAAACACTATACATAGAGAAAGTAGAGGGACTCCCAAGACACCCCTGTTTGGAACCCCAAAGTAAAGGAAAAAACATCCAAGTAATGCATTGTAAATACTAGGTCTAGAAATCCAGACTTGTACAGGAAGCATGGGACACAGACCAGGCGTGCCATCACACACATGGTCCTAGGACATCAAATGCATAGATTGAGGGTATAGGGACCCCCACGTAGAAGGCAAATGTATCACACTGTAAATGATATGTATAGAAATCCAGACTTCTATAAGAAGCAGGAAACACAGACCAGGACTAGCAGTGCCATCACATCCTCCTAGGGCACCCCATCACATCCTCCTAGGGCACCCCCATGCATAGTACAGTAGAAGAACCCAGAGAGTTCACATTATTCCAAATAATGTATTGTGAATACTTTGTATAGAAATCCAGGACTTCTACAGCAAGCAAGGGACATAGAACAGGGTTGACATCACATTGTCCTAGGACCCCCATGTGTAAAGGAAGGAGGACAAACGTATGCAAATAATTAATTGCAAATACTATGTATAGAAATTCAGACTCATACAGCAAGGGACACAGGGCAGGAGAGCCATGACATGGTCCTAGGACACCTTATGCACACAGAGAGTAGAGGACCCCGCACCAAGTAAAGGACAAACATATCCAAGTAATGCATTGTAAATAATTCATTGTAAAATACTATGTATAGAAATCCAGACAGCAAGGGACACAGGGCAGGAGTGCCATCACATGGTCCTAGGACACCCCATGCACACAAAGAGAAGAGGACCCCCCCACCAAGTAAAGGAAAAACATATCCAAGTAATGCATTGCAAATACGTTGTATAGAAATCCAGACTTCTACAGGAAGTAAGGAACACAGACCTGGACTAGGAGTGCCATCATTTTGTCCTAGGGCACCCCATGCATAGTAGAGTAGAAAAACCCCCCAAATAGAGGGCAAAGTATTCCAAAATAAATGCATTGTAAATACTATGTCTAGAAATCCAGACTTGTACAGAAGCAGACCATGATCAGGAATGCCATCGCACTGTTGTAGGACCCCCCATGTACAGAGAGAGTAGAGGACAAACATATCCAGGTAATGCATAGCACATACTATGTATAGAAATCCAGACTTGTACAGGAAGCAGATCAGGATTGCCATCGCACTGTCCTAGGACACCCCCATGCTGTATATAGAGTACACAGAAACAACAAACTATATAGAGGCTCTTACCTCTGATCTCAGTCCTGTAGTGACCACATGTGATCCCCCGCAGAGATCAGCTCATACACCTGGTCGGGACCATGCTGGAAGAGTCCAGGGTCCCAGGCTGGGAGTGAGGGTCGGGCAGCGCCTGTGTCGGGTCCCAGAGTCCCAGCACTGAGCTCGGAGTGGAGAGGGAGGGACAGCCCGGAGGAGGTGAGAGCAGACTCAGGGAGGGGCAACTGCAAACCTATAAACGGTGTAATTATAGTAGGAGGGCAGCTGGGGGGGAGCTGAATGGGAGCGATGTGTGTGCAGCAGATGCTATCTGGGGTAGAAGCTCACCTCTTCTATGTCCTGATCCCAAATCAATATGCTGCTGATCAGATGACAGCCAACAAGTACTAAAGTGACACTAAACTCCGGAATTAAATCTTATAAATACATTCAAGTCCCTCAACTATGAACAACAATGTATCTTATGTGTGTATCACTCGGCTGTAGATGCTCCAATCATCTCTGAATTGGTGTTGACACTGTCCTTCCTTCTGGAGGGGGGCTATTTTTGTTCCCCATGGTCCCTGTGTGTGTTGTAAAGTAGTCACCGCTCCAAGCTCGCTCCCGTGATGGACTACAATGTCAATACAAATTAGTAAACTAAACATGAGATTGTAGTCCATCACGGGAGCGAGCTTGGAGCGGTGACTACCTTACAAAGCCAATGTAGTCCAAGGGTGGCCACTAGAGATGACCCTGGGCTTGGTGCTTATGCAAGCTTACTCAAAACGATGGCTGCCACCCCCCACTCCCGGCCCAATAAGTTGGGCAGAGGCGCATTACCCGCCCCACAGCTATATTTCTAGCATGAGCTGTCTGTTGGGAAACAAACTGGTTCATTTATACTTTAAGTCCCTAAAATTCTATTACAATGTCTATTTCCATAAGTCAATATTTGCATAGAAAAACGCACACCCTGAACTAAGGATGCACCGATACTGGTTTTTCCGTAACAAGTACGAGTACCGATCTTTTGCTTTCGTTACTCGCCGATACCAAGTACCTATGCCGATGCTTCCGCTGGCATGGAGCTGGCTTTCCGGGCAATTAGGAAACAGGGCAGCGGATAATGCCATGCTTCCTGAATGCTTGGGAAGCCAGCTCCATGTTGTTTGGCCGGCTCGATTGTGATTGGCTGGGAAACCGGCTTCCTAACCCATCAGCATCGAGCCGGCTTCCCGGCCAATCAGGAAGTCGGATGGTGAGAAAATCCGGCTTCCCAGATAATCAGCAAGGAGCCGGCTGTTTGGTCGGGAAGCTAATCAGCATCGAACAGAGCTGGCTTCACGGCCAATCATGAAGCCTGGAGGCAGGTCATTACTAGCAGCCCAGCTTCCCGATTGCCCAGAAAGCTGGCTCCATGTTCCCCTACGTCACAGCCGGTCAGAGGAAATCTTCCTCTGACTGGAAGTTCCGGTATCGGGGAAGGTATCGGAGTATTTGGGTGAGTACAAGTACTCGCCCCAAATACTCGCCCAAATACCCTGAACCCCTCTCATTACAATGCTCGGCTCCTGCAATTGGCTGCTTAAGTACTGAGCTCTGATGTTGGATGAAGGAGATATATGGGCCCCACAGCAAAGGATCAGTTGGGGGAGCTTGGTCATGTTCAGTTCTTGGCTGGCAGTCAGGCAGTTATGGAATTTGCCAAAACGGCTGGTGAGACTTCAAGTACTTTTGGGCAGGTGGGAGTTACTGGGGGCTGTTCAACGTAACCTAATTATGTGTTAATCAAACAATATATTTTCTTCTGAACTAAACCAGATTAGTAGGAAGAGTGCAAACAGGTTTACCACTTGTGTCTGAAAGTCGAAAACTGCATTGACTGACCTCCCATGCTTGCCCACTAACATCTACATTACTGTTTGCACCACACAGATAAGTAAGAAGTAGATAATAAAGACTATTTACCAGCTTGATCCTCTCACTACTCTGCCCTCCCTCCGTATGATATGTTATCAGATAGGGAGAGTTACATATAAAAGGAAACCCGATGAGATAAATATGTGGACTGCCATTGTTCATCTTCTTCGTCTGCAAATGCTGGTTGCATGTCTGGCATCTGGTCCAATCCCCATACTACCCTTATAGTCATTTGAGTGCTGACTTCAAATGTTGCATTCTTGTTCCAGGATTATGACTCAGTACCAAAGCCAGAGACAGTTTCTGTCCATTTCCTTTAAATATGATACAACAAAGACCTTTTGCTCCCTTAGGACTGGACCTTGAAAGCTGTGCCCCAATAAAGGCCGACAGAAAGCAAAGGACCGGTATTGCCTGTGGTCTCCCGGCAGATGATATTTTTTAGGAGGAAATCAAGACAAAAGGCAATTTTTTAGGCTGCTACTTAGGCACAATTAACATTTCTAAACACAGCAAATGTTCACTTTTTGAGTTAAGTTTCACCCAGACTTTCCCCTTTGTGTTGTACCGCTTAGGAAAAAGGGGACAAATTCCTTCTTGAGTTCATGATCTTGAGCATTGATGCTGAGGTTTACTTGGCCATGGGCTCCCAATTTCCCACATACCATATTTTGGTTGCACTTTTCATAGTCCTTCCAGGTCACCTTATCCTCAGTGGCGCAACAATCGCCATAGCGACCCAGGCTGCCGAAATGGGGCCCGGGGCACAGGGGGGCCCGGCCAGATGTCGAGCGGACCTCCTGGGTTGCTATGGCATCCTCTACTGCAGGCTGTCACTGGCGGCTCTGAAGAAGAATGCGCTGCTGTTCAGATCACTGACCGTAATCTGTGCAGCAGCGTGTTCGTCTCCAGAGCCGCTGCTGTGTCAATGAGAGCCAGCAGCGGCGGTGGAGGAGGCCGGACCCGGCAGGAGAGGAGGAGCCGGGGCCCGTGGTCGACAGCAGGGGAGGAGGCGGGGCCCGGTGACAGAGGAGGCGGGCCCGGCGACGGAGGAGGAGGCAGGGCCCATCAGCGAGCGTGGAGGAAGAGGAGGCGGACAGGTAAGGAGTGCCACCAGCCCATAGAGAGTCTATGGTGGGCTCTGCAGGGTCACCCTCAGGTGGGCTGTGTGGGATCTCAGGTGGGCTCTGCAAGGGGTATAACTAGAAATCACAGGGCCCCATACAAAATTTTGCTATGGGGCCCTGTGGTTTCTAGTTACGCCCTTGCTTATCCTCATAAACAAATCTACTCTGCAAGCTGCAGGACTTTTTTGTCCTGCAATGTTCAGTCTGAAGGTCTGAATAAGGTCTCAGAAACCCCTATGGGCAGCTGAGCTTTCCCTCCAGTGACCGTTATGAGTTTCACCATGGAACACTTTTCACAATGAGTCGTGTGACTCCGCTAACCTATGTTCCAGTTGAGTTACATTTTTACAGGGGTGACATCACGGCTCTGTACTGGCATCATGTTAGCCATTAATAAAGAAAAGTTGAAAAGCAAAGTTCCAAAATTCCACAGCTCTCTGTCAACCAGGAAGTAGGACCCTCCAGAAAAATCCTATCTGAGGTGTGTGCTGATGTTGTATGGTTTGGAGGAAGTTTAAAGCATAGGAATTAAATTGAACCATTAGGGATGGGCACCACACCCCCAATTAGAATTGTATACAAGAAAAGAAAAGCGGGGCTTTAAAAGTGTCCAAACCATACAAGAATTGGAGGAAGCTGGACAATTGAATCATCGACCAACTTTTTGACTTTTAGAGACCCCACAGGAGAGAACTCTACACTGGAGATCCCACGTCCTACTTGCCTAAAAGCCAAAGAATGATTTAGGTCCTCAAGGTCTTCATGCTGCTGACAGAGCATAGCTGACCACGGCCTTTGCTTTCATTTCTTTGCAACGGTATTGTTTGACACATAGATTGGTCACATCTGCCTGAGCAGCCCATGAATGCCTCTGCTTTAGAGCCACAGTAAAGTTCAGGAAGTGAAGGCAGCGGTTGGCTAGACTCCTGGAAATCCCATTTCAGATGATACGTAGTATTTTCAGTATTCTAAAGTGGAACTGAACTCAAGAAGTTAAGATTTGCTACGTTATAGGCAATGCCTGGACATGGTTAACGTGCGCTTCTCCCCCTTCATGAGTTGTTAACCACTTCAGCAGCATAGGTTGCAGATGGAGGAGAGGCAACGGGGCTGGCCATAGCATGTGATCTGATGGTGGGATGTCCCAGAAGCAGGCTGGGGACTGCAATGTACACTGTTGGTACAGATGGCACTTCAAGCTGCAGGTGAGAGGAGCAGCACATGCATGCAGGGAAAGGGACTCTGCACAGTCCTCCTGAGACCCTGCACAGGCCACCATAAACCCTGCACCGCTCTCCTGAGACCCCGCACAGCCCACCTGAGACCATGCACAGCTCTCCTAAGAACCCGTGTTCGCTGTATCCAGTAACTGACAGGTTGAGCAAAATGCCCTAACCAGGATGGGGTGGGGCAAATTTGGTTTTGTGCTGCCCTAGGCAAGACTAAACTTGGGGTGCCCAAGTTTAGTCTTGCCTAGGGCAGCACAAAACCAAAATACACCACTGGGTACTGCTGCCTCTGACTACTAGTCTCAGGAGATTTGGTGTTGGATTTGGTGATGTCACTACTGTGTTGCTCACTGTTCTCCTTGCTGGAGGCTCAGACATGAGGAAGCAAAGCCCTGCCTCTACCAAGATGGCCGCCACCACACAGAAACACAGTGCAGAGCGAGGCATGGTCAGTTAGCAATAGGGAAAGATCAGCTGCAGGGAATCCACAGGTAATATTGGTGACGCATCCTTTGCCCTCTGTTTATTTGATTGTGCTGTGTGGCAAGGATGAGAAGATCTCAGAGACAGAAATGGAAATTCTTTATCAGATAAAACCGTTCCCATATAAATAATTCAAAGGTGGCTTCAGCTGTTTGCCTGGAGTTTTGTTTCAAGTGGTGGCAGCACGGAGAAGCTGCGGACCCGAAGCCATTTTTTTTTTAACTATAGGACCACTTTAATCTTTACCAGCAGGTTGTATGTGAACCTATTAGTTCCCAAAAAAGAACGTTCTGTTTCATTCCAGACGCAGATCAGCTTTAAACCTGCAAAAATACAGAGTGGTTACTG